GATTTTATCATAATTTCATTATGATAAAATCACATATTTAAATGTTCAGTTAGGAAATAAACTTACTGCTCCAGCTTTATATATCTTTCTTATACTCTTCACTATTATCTTTCTCATGAAGCCAATTCCAGAGGAACTTGTTTTTAATACTTTTCTCAGAAAAGTTTCAGAAATGTCAGATAAACTCTTAACTTCCATTTTATAATTTTTTACTCTTCATCATTATAATTGACAACAAAAACTTTTGTAAACTTTTAAAATGGAATTTCGATTATTTAACTTTTTACAAAAAGGAATATCTAATATTCAAAAAAGTTTTTTTTTTTTAAACATTTTTGCTTCCAACAAGGCTGCAAGCAACCTCTAATTATAGTTGAAAGTTAATGGAAGAGAAAATATGAAGATTCTAGAGCAAGATAATGATTGATAGACGACTTAAAAGATTGCAAATTATATGAATCAGGAAAACAAGATGAAGGAAGCAAATTCCAAAGAACTGATGTTCAAGGAAAAAAACTAGAGGAATAAGAGTTTTTGGAGCACTTAGAAATAGTCACAGAAAAAGGATGAAACAATTGAATGATGAGTAACACAAGAATGAATTTTAGTAGATGGCACAAGAAATGCTAGCTCTTTAGAGCAGTGCCCATAATAGTATTTAAAGAAAAGAGAAAGAGAAGCAACATTGCAACGATGTAATAATGGTTGAAGGTTGGCTGCAAGAGCATGTCCAACTATGTTTACAATGCGTTTTTGCACCTTGTCGAAAAGAGAAAAGGCATCATTAGAAGATCCACACTAGATATGACAACAGTATTCCATACAAGGCCGGATTTGAGGTTTATAGTGATAGAGAATAGAATCCAGAGTAAAAAAAAGTGTCAAGCTCAATAAAGAGATGCAACTTTAGCAGATGATAATTTTGCAATGGAATTGATATATGGTTTCCAAGAAAGATCAGAAGTAAGAGTTAATCCTAGAAGATGAAGGGTAGATAACTCATCGAGTACATCACCGTTTATAAATATAGGAAGTTCTAACTTATTGCGATAATGATTGGCTGAAAAAAATTGAGTTTTATCTGAATTAAAGTTCACCAGCCACTGTGAGCCCCTTGCTATAGCAGAAGTGAGATCCTTTTCAAGCTCAGATGCCCCCTGCAAGCAATCAGAGGGAGTTGGCTTCTTATCATGACAAGAATAAATGGTAGTATCATCAGCGAACAATGCCATCTTAGATGTGAGAATATCTGGAAGATCGTTAATATAAATTAAAAAGAGTATAGGGCCAAGGATTGAACCTTGAGAAAGCCCTGAGGTTACAGAATAAGAAGAAGAGTGATGTCCATCAAGGACAAATTTTATACTACGATTGGAAAGGAAGGATTCGATAAACTGTAAGAAGAAAATTTATGGAGAAGACCTGCATGCCAAACTTTATCAAAAGCTTTAGAAATGTCAAGAGTGATGGCCTTAACCTCTCCACCTTTATCTAATGCAGGATAAAACCTATTTGTTATTATTGTTAGCAAATTAGCCGTAGAACAAGAAGATTGAAATTCATATTGATGATCAGAAAGTAAGTTATTAGATTCAAGATGAGAGATTAAGTGTTGATTAATCAAAGATTCAAAAACCTTGCTAATGATAGGAAGAAAACTAGCAAGACTGTAGTTAAAGGAATCAGATTGCTCTCCAGAATTTTTAAAAATAGGGATAACAGATGCTGCTTTCCAGCAGGGTGGAAAACAAGACTCTGATAAGCACTTGTTAAATAGTTTAGAAAGGATAGACGACAGCTCTGGAGAACACTTCTGCAAGACTATAACAGGTATGTTGTCTGGGCCACAAGCTGTAGAAGAGTCTAAGCAGGAAATCGCTTTAGATACAGAAGCTGAAGTTAATTTAAATGAATTAAAAAGATTAGTAAAAGTTAATTTGAATGAATTAAAAAAGAAAAAAAAACAAAAAAAAAGCTGTTATGAAAATTGATCTAGTGAAAAATTTCAAATATAAGAAAACATATTTGTTTAAATGCAAACATTGTCATATTTAAAATTTTATAAAATTTTTTTCAAATTAATAACAAAAAACAAAATAAAACGAGTTTTAAGTGAATTTCCAGAATTTCGGGGAATTTGCGGAAAAAACTCATCAATGTTGGCCCTTTACTTTTTTAAATTTACATTAATGATCTCCCAAAATATTTTATATCTAAGGTGGTTGCTGATAATGCTACCATTTGCTTATGATACTACCATTTATTTTTGTCTTATTAAGAAGTCAACTCTCTCTGGTTTCTTGGAGAGGGCATTTGAGCTTGAAAATGGATCTCACCTGCTACAACATGGAGCTCTCAGTGGTTGGTGAACTTTAACTCAGATAAACTCAATTTTTTTGCTGTCGCAATAATCTAGATCTTCCAATATTTATTAACAATAATGTTCTTGATGAGTCATCTAACTTTTATCTTCTGAGTCATCTAACTTTTATCTAATCTAGGATTAACTCTTACTTCTGATCTTTCTTGGAAACCATATATCAAATCAATCAAAAAATTAGTATCTGTAAGGTTGTATCTCTTTCAAGATTCTATTCTTTATTTCTATAGATCTCAAATCCGTCCTAGTATGGAATACTGTTGCCATGTCTGGGCCGAATCTTTCAATGATACCCTTTCCTTTTTAGACAAGGTGCAAAAATGCATTGTTCTGCATTTTAACACCTTGTCTAAAAGGGAAACACTGCTCTTGCAGCCAACCATTACCATCACATCGTTGTGCAGTTGCTTCTTTTCTTTTTTATAAATACTATAATGACCACTGCTCTATAGAGCTAGTGTCACTTGTGCCTTCTACTAAAATTCATTCTTGAGTTACTTGTCATTTAATTAAGTCTTTTTACTGTGACTGTTCCTAAGTTCTCCAAAAATTCTTATTCATCTAGTTTTTTTTTTCGAACATTAATCTTTGAAATTCTCTCTCTTGATCTTGTTTTCCTGATTCATATAGTTTGCAATCTTTTAAGTCATCTGTTAATCGTTATCTTTCTCTATAAACTTTTTTTCATTTTTTTTCTTCCCTTGACTTCCTATTCTAATAGTGGTTGCTTGCAGCCTTGTTGAAAGTGAAGATTTTTTTTTTACTTATTAAATTTTTTTTTACTTATTAAGTCAATAAAATTTATTAAAGCTATAAAAAAAATTATGAGAATTAAAAAAAAGTTAAATTTCTCAAATAATAAATTAATTTTATTGATTTCAATATACTAAAATCTTCTTATATTAGGTTATATATTACTATATAACCTAATATAAGAAGATTTTAGTTATATTTGACTTATATTACTAAGTCAATATACTAAAATCTTCTTATATTAGGCTGGACATTAAGAAATTGAACTTTACACAAAATATGCATTAGAGATACTAAACAGAGTATTTATGACAGCGTCATAAATGCAGACCACAAATATGTGTAACTTGAATTTTCATGAATATAAACTCTGCAAGCAAAAATATCATCTACTTTAACTGACACTCTTTTCTGGATAAAATCTTTTCATCACATTGATAGAATTAAACAACATCTCTAATTACTTCTTCGTTAGGTTTCCTAACTGATTTTGGAGGTTTCAATATTATTCGACTTTGCTTTCTTTACTTTGCTTTCCTAAGTCAAAAAATACTGCTGAGTTGTCTCTATTGACCAAATTTGTGGAGTTTGTGTAAAAAGTGTGATTTTGTTTGGATTTTGAAAATGTTCTGTCAAATTTTGAATTGATTTGAGTCATCATGTCTTAATTTTTGTTTGTTTTTTTCAAACGTTTGTTTGAAGCGGTTTGAATTTCAACAAATTTATTTCTACACATAATACATTATCAACAGCATAAGAGCATGTTTTGTGTATGTTAACAACTTTACTTTTTCAATGTGCAACTCTTTTTTTGAAACAAGTTTGAGAGGTGAGCATCCAAAATTTGCAATACTTAAATTAAGATCTTATTTTAATGTAAGGCTGTAAATATAAATTTCTTTGTCTTGGGGTTTCTTTTTTTTGTTGTCATGATGCTTGCAATAAATCTAAGATAAAGTAATGACATTTTCCCCAAGGGTTTTGGGTGACAGCCTCCATTTTAGCTCCAAAAATCAATAAATTATAAGTCAATCCCCCTCGTCTAAGAAAAGTAATTATTGTAATTATCAAATTACTAACATCTAAATACCAAATTTTGTTGCAACTTTACATCAAAGAAACGCATAACTTTTAATGTTTTTAATTGTTTTTTTAATGTTTTATCTTGGTGTATTTAATGTTGAAATTTATGAGAAATAATTTTGAGTATAGGCATTAATAATAGTGCTCAAACATACTCCTCCTTTCCTTTTTTTTATACTGGGGGCAAAATCATTATTATTTTTAAATAAGTCAGAACTTGTTCAACTGTAATTTTGATTATTTTTTTTTTCTTGAACGTTTTTTTTTTGTTTTTTTTTTTGCTCTGTTTATTTAAAGCTGATGACTGATAATTGTTGAATTAAAAAACATCTTTAACATTTTTTGATTCAATTTTATATCAAAGATGTAAGTTGCAGCTTTTGTTGCCTACCTTACATCTTTGATGAAAAATTGCAACAAAAGTTAGTAGATGTTAGTAATTTTATTGGCATGCTACTGAAATATTGTGTTCAATTTTGAAATGTACACCTTAATCCAAACATTTTTTTTTCAAACTAAAAAGTAATGAATAAATATTTTTTTAATAGTCTTTTATGCATAAATACTGCCTGTCAAAATTAAAACCCTTAGTTGATGTATGTACTGAAACCCCTGTCAATGATTATTTCAGTATAATGTTATCAGTTATCTTAATATAGATATGTTATCAGTTATATTAATATAGATATTTTATCAGTTATTTTAATATAGATATGTTATCAGTTATCTTTCATGTTAAACTTTATCTGCTATGTAAAATATTTATGCATTTTAATATATTTAGGATGAAGTATTTTTGAAGTTAGGCTCCTTTCAACATAAAAGAAACCCGTTTATGTGCCTTAAGGAATCACTTTTTTCATCTTTAGTTGATGCTGATAATGTCAAATCCAATATAATCAATGATACTAGTGAATCAACTACACAAGTATCTACAAATGAATTATCTAATGATGCTTTAAAAAGTTCTGAAAACTCAGATTCAAAATCTAATTTTCAACAAGAAGAAAGAGAGAATCTTGCTATTTTCTTTAGTTATTTTTATGAAATGAAGCTACCAAAATTTGAAAATGATTCTTTAGATAACATATTTCTTTATCCTGAAACAGATGAGATTCTTAATGAAGTTTCGGAGAAGACATTGACATTCGGACAAAGTCAGATTTTTTGCTCCACTAAAGTTATACATTTATTGTTGTGGCTGACAGATATTGTGTCTATTCCAATTCCACCTCGAAGAGAAAAAAAAGGGATTTTTTTAGATCCATTTGTTTTGAAACAACTACAGCTTGGTAATTTTTTAACTAGAAGTTTTACAATGACTGTTTTTGGTACTGATATATTTCTTTTAAATAACGATCAGAATTGTACAAAGCAAGATGTAGATAATAAACAGGAATGTGTGTCATTACTTTTCTCTCTAGGAGTTTGTAAAATAACTAAAACAGATCCCATGTATCCTTCAGAGTTGGAATCTATGACTCTTAGTAAAAATCTTTATAATATTAAGAATCAATCATGCTTAAGTTCTGTTATGAATATTAGTGTTACAATTAACCAAGTGTGTTTTTGCGTATTAAATGAAGATTTTCTTGATGTATGCCATTCAACAAGTATCATTAGTCAAACAATCTTGGAAATTGATATCCAAAAGTCTCTACCTGAAGTGCATCATAATACCTCTTCAAGTATTTTAAAAGCCTCTTTTTTATGTCAAAATATCAATCTTTCCTTTACTAAATTTCAGATTATTCTTTTTTCAAAAATAGTTTTATCCTGGTTTGTGCAAACAAAAAGCAATTTAAAAGAACTATCTGAAACTGTGTTTAGCCCAGATAAACAAACAACCATGAATGTTGTACTCGAAAGAATACATGCAAATTATATTGACACAATTGATGTTCATGCTATTAAATGTTCAGTGGGCAAGGCTAATGCAACTGTTGTCAATTTTATAGATAACATTGCAAGAGAAAATATTTTTCATACAATCTTTGAAGCTCCTTGCAATTCATCATTTTCATCAGAACAAAATTTTTGGTTTGAAAAAAGTTGTGATGGCATTGTTTTAAATGAGTTTATTGATATATTAATTCAATGCAACAAAAAAACAACAAAATTAAAAAACACTGTACAATTACTTTCTTTGAATGTCTCTGGGTGTTGCTTTAACTTTGACAGGAGTTTGCATCAGTGGTTACTAGATGAGACAGTGACTCCCAACAAAAAACAAAAAACTTTTTTAAACAAAAATAGTAAATCTTTAAATAGATCAATAGACTATGGAACAACAAGTAGATCAGGGAATCAAAAAAGGACCAAGTCTTATGCACGCATAATAGGAGTTTCAAGTGCATCATCACATAAGTCTAAAGACAAAGAATTAAATTTTGAACCAGATGCTGGAAACGGGTTTGACCTGGCATTTGGAGATTGGCTGGCTCTTAAAATTGATTATTTTAAATCATTCCATATTAAGATTAAAATTAATCCAGTTGTGTTAATGTTTCCCGAGGGACAGTTATCACATGAAAGTCTTAAGCATAATACTAATATTTTAAATAAGTTTAAAGAAATGTATAATAGTAAAGATGCATTTCCATCCACACTAGTAGTATGTTTTCCAAAATTAGAAGTTACTAGTTCATCACTCAATAAAGAGATTTTTGAAAATAAATTGCCAATTATAGCAAATAATGTACAAAAAGAAACTCTGCCTTGGAATGTTACTAGTTCTAATTTTGCTATACTGACACTAATGAAAGAATCAGAAAATTTTAGTAATGATCAAATTAAAAAGTATGGATTCTACTTATGCAAACCAGTGTCTTGGAACCTTTATCTTGCTGCTTCTCCTATCAACAAAGATTCTGAAGGAAGTTCAACTTTAGGATCTATCTTGGAACGATATCCTTGGAAAAAGTCTTCAGCTTTCTTTGATAAACAATTGGTTTTTGGTAGGCATGCAATAGGATTTGTAATTCATATGGATTGGTCTATTTGCGAATTGAATTTATCTCAAGTACAGGTGAGTTTTTGTTATACACTTTATTATATGGATATACATTTATTTATTTATATATAATATTTTACTTTGAAATTTTCTGATACTATTGATTTTAATTTGAAACATCTTTTAATCAGTTTACTTAATTGATATAAGTTTAATATATTTTGTAATATTATGGTTGGACAAAATAAGAACTATTAACTAAAATATAAACTACTTAATAACTAAAATAAAAACTCACCTGTATCTCTCCTGTACTTTCGGAACTATTCATTCTGTCATTCATCACTGGTGTATTCCCTGATATTTTAAAAACTGCTTCTGCTATTCCAAAATAATAAAAAAGACTCAAAATTTGAATGTAATAATTACAGACTAATTTCATTATAATCAAATGTCAGTAAACTTTTAGAAAAATCTAAATATTCTTGTAGTTACAACTTTTCGAATAATTCTGCTTGTTTTCATATTTGGCAGTTTGGGTTTCGCTCAAATCACTCCACTTCTCATGCATTTATTAGCATTACTGAAATGATTTGTGGTGCAATTGACAGTGCTTGTGGTGTATTCATAGATCTTCAAAAAGCTTTTAATACAGTTGATCACAACATTCTAATAAAAAAGCTTAACTACAACGGAATATGTGGTATTGCTAATCATTGGTTTTCTTTCTATATTAAGGATTGAACTCAGTTTGTTTCAATTAATGGATTTGAATCTACACATAAAGTTATTAAATATGGTGTGCCACAGGCTCCGTTCTTGGTCTCATTGTTTTTATTATATATGAGTGATTTATCATGTTCATTAAAAAATTCTATGGTACTTCATTATGCTGATGATACCAACCTTTTATATATCAACAAATCACTTATGACTCTTTGTAAAAATTTAATCAAGATCTTAATCACTTTTGTAATTAGTTAATAACAGATATGTATATTTATATAACTGGTTAATAACAGATATGTATATAATCATATTTCCTTGAATGTCAATAAAACTGAATATTTTATTTTTCATTCCCCTCAAAAAACTATTGATAATATTAAAATTAAAATTAATAAAAAAAGTTTTTTTTATCTTGGAGTATATCTCGGTATAATCATCTGTATTATCTTAAAAAAAGCTTACACAAGCTAACAGTATGCTTTCTCTAATTTGTTCCTATGTTCCTATCCAATTTCTTATAATAATTTATTATTCTTTATTCTCTTCTCACCTTTCCTTTTGAGGTCAAAAAAATAACTTTTTACTTAATAACATTGCTAGTTTGCAACATGCATTTATTACAATAATGACGTTTTCACCAATGACATCTGATATCAAAAAATTTTTAAACTAAAAATCCTAGAACTCCATGATCTTGTAAAGTTTTACAATTATCTTTTTGTGTTTGACTTTCTCCAAAAGAAACTACCTAACTCTTTTTTAAATATTTTTATTAAAACAAATAAAATTCATAATCATCACACCAAGAATACCTAAAATAGTAAGCTATACTCTTTTTTTTTTCAACACCATTAAATATGGTAAGTTTTCCATGAAACAACAATGTATTTCCCAGTGGAACCAGTGTATTCTTGCATTAATAAGAAAGTCTAAAAAAAATGTCCACTTGTTATGGATTATTTACTGCTCAACAGAATTCAATTTAAAACTATATTGTTAGAGTGTATTTCTTTATAGTTTCTCTCTGTACTGTAGTTGTCTTTGATATATAATTTCTTTAACGAACCCTCATATAATGTGGCAGTGTATACAGCAGCAGGCTTTAAGATCTATGTATGTATTAAAGCCCCAAATAGCAGGGTATTTCAGTGTGACGTCAGACATTTTATCTAAACATGCATTTATACATATATATTTAAATGTACATATATGTATATATATATATATATATATATATATATATATATATATATATATATATATATATATATATATATATATATATATATATATATATATATATATATATACACTTACTAAAGCGTGTTTTGATAAGCATTTGCTCACTTTTTGTGCTTACTTCAAGGTAAACCGTTTTTTTTGAAAAAGAAGAAGAAAAAAACGAAGAATGATAAATAAAACGATTGCTTCCCTATCCCAAACCCTCAGTCGATGTAGCAGCACTTCACTGCGAGTCAGGCTTTTTGTCAGTCATTGTATGTACTGAAGCCCCCAGCAGCCGGCTATTTCAGTATGACGTCAGATTGCTTACCAAAGTACGCAATACTATTTGTATATATATGTATATGTATATATATATATTTATATATATATACATATACATATATATATATATATATATATATATATATATTTATATATATTTATATATATATATTTATATATATGTATATATATATTTATATATATATATGTATATACATATATATATATATATATATATATATATGTATATACATATTTATATATGTATATACACATATATATCTTTAATAGTGTATTTAGATAAGCATTTGCTCACTAGTTATCTTTATAGCATACCGCGCTTTTAGAAAAAGAAGAAAAAAACAAAGAATAATGAAAAAAAAGATTGCTGCCCCATCCCAAATCCTTTGTCGATGTAGTAGCACTCCCCTGCGAGTCAGGCTATTTGTCAGTCAATGTATGTACTGAAATCACACTGAAATAGCCTGCTGCCCCTGGCAAAGTTGTCATATCAACAAGCAGTTTAAGTTATATATATGTATATATATATATATATATATATATATATATATATATATATATATATATATATATATATATACATATATATATAAATATATATATATATAAATATATATATATATATATATATATATATATATATATATATATATATATATATATATATATATATATATATATATATATATATATATATATATATATATGTATATATATATATATATATATTTTTTTTTTTTTAACATCTTCACTTCCAACAAGGCTGCAAGCAACCACTATAAGAGTTGGAAGTTACTGGAAGAGAAAAGATTAAATCTGTAGAGCAAGATAACAATTGACTGATGACTTAAAAGATTGCAAATTATATTAATCAAGAAAGCAAGATGAAGGAAGCGAATTCCAAAGAACTGATGTTCGAGGAAAAAAACTAGAAGAATAAGAGTTTTTGAAGCACTTAGGAACAGTCACAGAAAAAGGATGAGACTTAATTGAATGGCGAGTAACACGAGAATGAATTTTAGTAGATGGCACAAGGGACGCTAGCTCTTTAGAGCAGTGCCCATTATAGTATTTGTAGAAAAGAGAAAGAGAAGCAACATTACGACGATGTGACAAAGGTTGGAGATTGGCTGCCAGAGCAGGTCCAACTATGTTTACAATTCGTTTTTGCACCTTGTCTAAAAGAGAAAGAGCATCATTAGAAGATTCGCCCCAGATGTGGCAACAGTATTCCATACAGGGACGGATTTGAGATTTATAGAGATAGAGAATAGAATCTGGAGTAAGAAAGTGTCGAGCTCGATAAAGAGATGCAACCTTAGCAGATGCTAATTTTGCAATGGATTTGATATACGGTTTAAAAGAAAGATCAGAAGTAAGAGTTAATCCTAGAAGATGAATGGTAGATGACTCATCTAGTACATTACCATTCATAAATATAGGAAGATCTAAATTATTACGATAAGGATTGGCCGAATAAAATTGAGTTTTATCTGAATTAAAGTTCACCAGCCACTGTGAGCCCCATGCTGTAGCAGAAGTGAGATCCTTTTCAAGCTCAGATACCCCCTCCAAGCAATCAGAGAGTGTAGGCTTCTTATCATGACAAGAGTAAATGGTAGTGTCGTCAGCGAATAATGCCACCTTAGATGTGAGAATATCTGGAAGATCGTTAATGTAAATTAAAAAGAGTATAGGGCCAAGGATTGAACCTTGAGGAACCCCTGAAGTTACAGGATGTGAAGAAGAGTGTTGTCCATCGAGGACAACTTTTATACTACGATTGGAAAGAAAGGACTCAATAATCTTAAAGACGTTACCAGCTACACCATAAGAAGAAAGCTTATGGAGAAGACCAGCATGCCAAACTTTATCAAAAGCTTTAGAAATGTCAAGTCCGATAGCCTTAACCTCTCCACCTCTATCTAATGCACGGTAAAACCTATCGGTTATTACTGTTAGCACATCAGCTGTAGAACGAGAAGACCGAAATCCATATTGATGATCAGAAAGTAAGTTATTTGATTCAAGATGAGAGATTAAGTGTTTGTTGATTAAAGATTCAAAAACCTTGCTTATGACAGGAAGAAGACTAATGGGACGGTAGTTAGATGAATCAAATCGCTCTCCGGAATTTTTGAAAATAGGGATAACAGATGCTGCTTTCCAGCATGATGGAAAACAAGACTCTGATAAGCACTTGTTAAATAGTTTAGAAAGTATGGATGAAAGCTCCGGAGAACACCTCTGCAAGACTACAACAGGAATGTTGTCAGGACCACAAGCTGTTGAAGAGTCTAAGCAGGAAATTACTTTAGATACAGAAGCTGAAGTGATGCGATTGTCAAGCAAGGGATCAACCTGTTTGACGGCTATGTCAGGTAAAACACAACTAGTGGAATCAAGAGATGATATTGATGAAAAGTTCTTAGCAAACAATTCAGCTTTGTCTTTAGGTGAGGTGACAAAGTCTGAACCATACAAGAGAGAAGGAATAACAGATTTGCCCTTATTATTGATACTGTTAAAGATTCTCCAGAAGTCTCGTGAGCCTAATTTTTGTGATGAGACATGAGATTTAATGACCTGGGAATAGCGAGCTTTGGCGTCAGACAAAACCTTTTTACAATGGTTTCTGGCGATAGTGAACAGATGTCTGTTTTCTGGAGAATTGTTTTGCTGATAGATATGGAAGTAACGGTTTCAATTAGAAATTGCTGCAGCGCAATGTGAGGAAAACCAAGGAGAAGAGTGAGGCTTGACCTGGAATCGTCGAGAGGGAATAAAAGATTCCATGCCAGCCTGAATCCACGAAGTTATGTAAGAAGCACATTTGTCAGCAGGAAGACGAAAGATTTCTACCCAAGGGCCATCACGAAGAAAATCACGGAAAGAGTCCCAGTCAGCTTTAAGGTAGTTGTATGTGGTACGATGATAGGGGGATTCTGATGAAGTAGAAGAATTTGATAATAGTTTTAGAGAGATCAAACCGTGATCAGAAGTACCTAAGAGTGAATGTGGAGAAATTGAGCACTGACTAGGATCCAAAACAAGACATAAGTCGAGTAGAGAAGGTAAATGATTAGGGTTGTCTGGAAAACGAGTTGGAAAGTTGACTATTTGAATTAGAGATTGAGAAAGGCAAAAGTTGAGGGCCTTAACGCCAGCAGAGTCACTGACACTAGAGCCAAGCCAATCGGTGTGATGGGCATTAAAGTCACCAACAACGATGATATTGGCCGATGGATAAAGAGAGAGGGCTTGGTCAATTTGATCAGAAATAACATCAAGAATAGTGCAATCTTGGGATGAAGGAGAGCGATATAGAACAAAGAGAAAGGCGATAGAGTGAAGTTGTGCTAAACGAAAGCACATAAATGAATAGTCTGTAGATTCAAACCTAGTTTCACGACAAATGGGTGAGTTCTTACGAATGTAGATGCCCAGGCCAAGCATGTGATTATTGGAGTCTTTACGAATTAAAGGAAGATAACCATCAACACTAAGATCACAAGATGGGACAGCCGAACTCAAATTAGTCTCACAAAGAGCAAGTAGGTCTGGTGAACTTTGCAAGAGATAAGACTCAACAGAAGAAAAGTTACTTCGAAGACCACGAATATTAGTAAATGATAGGTTTAGAGAACTTGGTGATGACGATGGTTTTTTGTGTTTTTTAGTTTTAGGTACTTTAGTCATTTTAAATTTATAAAGAACTTGACTCAAGTATAGATAGTACTCAGTACACTATTTAACAACTAAGCAATAGCCTCCTTACTATTAATAAACCCTAAGCCGTAACAAAGGGCTCCAAATGTGGCCTCTGCAATGCACACCAAAAGTACAAACAGTGACACCATCCATGGGCAACATGGCACTGTTAGTACTCTGATATTTTTCGGCTGTTGATGGAATCAGCCTCTCTGAGAGCTACCACAGAGTTCTGGAAACCTGACTACCAGCCGGCCTCAGAACCATAAAACTGAGTTTTAGAGCTGTACCCTCATTAGGAGATAATAGAATGAGTTGCCCAGTCATAAAAATAGAGACACAAGCAATACCCACGCATTGAGTCAAGAAGATCCAGCGTTCAACATCCTAAACTGGAAACAATGTATTAAAAATACATCTGCGCCAGCCTAATAGATGAGGAATGGGTGCGAGGCTGGTCAACAGATAGAATCTGTTTACCCCTTAAGTCTTTGCCTAGGAGGCCTTCTACAAGACAGCAGCTGGATGCATGTAACATCTGCCCAAGATGAGTATTTTTATCGAGACACCATCTCTAGCCTTTACTCAACCAAGAGCCCCAAGGCAGGGGGTGTTTTAATTCGGAGTTAACTTCTCCTAGCCTTTGCCTAAAAAAGCGTATCCTACAAGGCAGCAGGACATGGAGCAGGTTGTACTGGGTTACATGTTTTCAGTAGCAGGAAAACCTGACCTGACCTAATATATATATATGTGTGTGTGTGTGTGTGTGTGTGTGTGTGTGTGTGTGTGTGTGTGTGTGTGTGTGTGTGTGTGTGTGTGTGTGTGTGTATTATGATACATATAGAAAATATATGAGTATATTGTGATGTAAGTATGATGTATGGTATTAATGTATGTGATAGCTTCATATAGACTGCATGTATATGAGGCTAGAGTTATTCTATTTTTTTAAATATTAAGAAGTTTTTTAACTTTAAATAAAAACAGTATCAGATTTTATTATTTCATAATTTTTGTTTTTTCAGGTTCCATTACTTCTAAAAGTATTTTCATCTTTAGTGGAAACATGGAAATTTCTTACTTCAAATTCACTACATTCATCACATTTTGATGTCAAAGATAACTTATTGTCTGAGAAAGTAGTAATTCAAGATCAGTCATCAGTCTCATCTTCATCAGCTGTTGATCATGCTGAAGCTTTAAGTGCTATGACATGTTCAACTGTACCTAACTCAAAAGTAATACCTTGATATGGGGATTGTAGATGCTGTTGTTTTTTTTACTTAACTTTTTATTTTGTTTCCTTATCTATTTTTTTATTAAAACTATTGCTTTTTTATTTATGAATTTAGCTTGTAAATGATATTTCAATATCACTATGGATTCAATTAACACTTCCTAAAATAAAATTCAGTGTTTGTAGTACTTTAAAAGGAGAAAACTCATTATACCATGTAACATCTGAAATCAATGAGCTGATGTTTTCTGTTGATTATCAAGATAATGCTCTTGAAGTGACAACTAAAATTGGCTCATTTACAGTGTATTATTCATTAATGAGGTAATTTATTAGAATTTATTATTTATTTGAAGTTGTTATTACATGTAATAAGTGAGATTTCCAGAAAATTTAAATTTTAATGTCCAACATAACATAAGACATGTAAGAATGGGTACTAAACTTGCGAACTGAGCAATATTTTAAATACTTTTAGCTATTTTTATTGAATATTAAAATTATATAATTTATCTCATTTTGTAAATGTGAGACTTTGCGTATGGAGTAAACCTTATAAGAGTAACTTTTAAAAATTGCTAATACAATTTTGCAGTCGAAATTTTGCTTATTTTCATACAGTAGAGAGTACTTATTAAAATTAGAATTCCTTAAAATATTTAGTCTTTGTCTCCAAGAAGATCCTAAAATATGACAATTTTACTTGTAACAGATGTTGACCAGGCCCCTCTTGTCCCCTCAGAATTGCAATGTTTATTTAGAGGTTCAAGTTACTTAACTTTAAAATATTTGATCTTTAAACTTAAAAATTTGTACCTGGCAAATTTCAGGAGTGGCGAATCCAATAAAATGATCAGAAATGTCAAAAATTATTTTTAAGTATCTGTAATTATCAGTTTAAATAAATTTAGGCAATTTTTATATATCTGATTTTGATGCTCAAGAAACCCATATGGCCTTGATAATATCAAAAATAAATAAATATAGCACATTATTCTATATTCATTGATCTTTCAAAAATATAAGTATTTTGATTTGCAAATATATGGATTTCTAAATACGGATAATGGGGCAAGGTTTAGATTTTTTTGTAGTGGAGTATTGCAACTGATTTTTCACTAGTTTCCAGACTAGCTGGAGTTCTGATACTTTTGGCATTTCTGTAGTGCCAATGAATGTGCATGTTAAAGTAGTTTTCAGGGCCCAAGACACCAAGGGAAGGGTTTGGATTATGGCCCCCACACACAGGGGGTCTGGATCACGGACCCCACTTTTTTGTAGTGGAATCTTGTGATAGATTTTTACTACTTTCCAGACTAAATCCAAAGTTACCATTGGTGTCAAATTCAATGCATGTTACACCCTGTTGCACTCTATTTATTAAATGAATATAACCAGCTTAAAAAAAAATCATTTTTTTTTCATGTTGGAAGATAATGAGCATGAGATTGGTTTTGTGTATGAAGTTCAGACACAAATAGTTAATTATTTAAAAGAAAATCATTCTAATATTACAAAGGTTCTTTATTTTTCAGATGGTTGTGCTGCACAGTATAAAAACCACAAAAATCTTTACAATATCTGTTTCTGTAAAGATGATAAGCATGCATAGTGGATTTTTTGTTACAAGTCAAGTTAAGTCACCATGCTTTGGTAATAGTGGTACTGTAAAACGATTAACTGCAAATACAAGTCTACAAAGGCCCATAAATGACCAGATATTAATTTGTAATAAAATTTTAAAATACTGTACAAATAATATTAAAAGGATTATTTTTTTCAAGATTGAAAAAAAAAGGCTAACAGAACCACTTTGAACCACCAGCTGACAGCACCACTTTGAAAATACATTTTCTGCTTAATAAAATAATTTCTGGAAATAAGAGCTATTATCAATTAAACCCAGAATCTATAGATACTATTAGCTTTAAAAAAACAAATGAAGATTTTAATAAAACAGGCATTTTTCTTTTTCTGGTATTCAACTTAATTAGCAAATTAACATCAATACATTGAAATTTGGTGAATTTATTCTGTGTAAATATGATATATTTCATTGGATTGGTATTCTAAATGAAATTGACAATATTAAGCAAGATATTATGGTAACATTTATGCACCCCCATGATCCTTTTAAAAAACTTTTCTGATCATCTAGAGCAGATGGGTGTTGGGTTCGAAATATCAACATAATTTGTATCATTGATGCACCTGTAACAACAACTGAATGTGTGTATACTTAGATCGCTGTCACATCTATGCAAATCTTAACACAATCTTGACACTTATTATTTTTGTATTTTATTTTGTAAATAATTAAATAAAACAGAACAAGTACAAAAAAAAATTTACTTTATCTTTACTTTATTGCAAATGCTAAAAAAAAAGTTTTCTAAGAAAAAAATAAATTTGCGGCATGGCCCCCATGCCCTTCTGACATGAAGGTCATGGACCCTCTGGTCATCTGCGCTAGAAACCATTTTATCAGGACTACACAAATGCTGAAAGTTTCAGAGCTCCAGTTTGTCTGAAAGAATTTTTTTTAATAAATTTGAGAATGTTTATCACTATCACTGTTTTTTTATCAATCTTAATTAAAATCTCTTATTTCTAAAATCATTGATTTTTAAAACAGGTATAAAAAATTTTTTATTATTAAAAGTCCTATAAATCTTGTTGTTATCTGCTCAATTCCTTGGTTGATGTATGTACTGAAACCTCCACAGCTCCTTATTTAAGTATGATGACTTATTTTATATATAATCTAGATTGATTAAATATTTTTTTTAGTTTTTAGCTAAACTAAGTATGCAAAGATATTTGTGTGTGCGTGTGTGTGTATAGTATGTATGTATATATATATAAATATATATATAAATATAAATATATATATATAAATATAAATATATATGTAAATATAAATATAAATATATATATATATATACACACACACATATATATATGTATATATATATATATATATATATATATATATATATATATATATATATATATATATACACACACACATATATATATATATGTATATATATATATATATATATATATATATATATATATACATATATATATATATATATATATATATATATATATATATATATATATATATATATATATATACACACACACACTTACTAAAGTGTCTTTTGATAAGCATTTGCTCACTTTTTCTGCTTACTTTAAGCCATACCGTTTTTTTCAAAAAAGAAGAAGAAAAAACGAAGAATGATGAATAAAATGATTGCTTTCCCATCTCAAACCCTCAGTAGCAGCACTCCACTGAGAGTCAGGCTATTTGTCAGTCGATGTATGTACTGAAGCCCCTAGCAGAAGGCTATTTCAGTATGACATCAGATTGCTTACAATAGTACGCAATACTATATATATATATATATATATATATATATATATATATATATATATATATATATATATATATATATATATATACTATACACACACACGCACACAAACAAATTTCTTTGCATTTACATCGCCTGAGAATTTTCCACTTAACTATAGGAACTAAATTAGCTTCTTTTAATTTCCATACATGCTTTGAGGGCTCAGTATCATTTTTGTATTTGAAGATGTTAAATGATTTAACGTGATTAGAGTATCTTAATTTAAAAGGAGTCTTACTTATAATTATGTAGGATTTTTTAGAAACACTTTTTCCCAGATTCAAAGCATTAATTAATTAAAATATTTGTGACGTGTTAGACCTTCTTTAATAAACAAAGAAACATTTAATAGATATTTTATCAGAAATTAGAGTGAAAATTCAAAACTATAAATTAAAAAAAAGTTACAACAAAAGTTTAATACAATCTTTGTTAAGTTCAAGTTCTTTAATACATCTCAAACTCCTTCTTAGAGAGCTAATAATTGGATCTAAACTGCCCAATAATCTTCGCATAACATCTTCTTTTGTGATTTTTCTTGAATATTTTCTCATAAAGTGTTCTCTATAATTTTTAACATCTTTATTTCGACATTCCTGAGCTTCCTCAGAAAGAAGACCTACTGGTACTGGTTTATCTCGTACAACTTGAGAACTATGAATTAGAATTTTATGTACAATTTGAGGTATTGGAAACCATGGGTACAGAGAAATGTAGAGCTCTGCTGTTTCTTTGGTATATTTTTTGAGTTCATCTGCGTTAATTTGATGTTTGCACTATAAAATACAAAGAATTACCTAGAAACGTTTCATGGGATTTTTTATCTAAGTATTTCAGCAGACAACGGACAGAGATTTTTATTATAGCAGTTACAGTTTTGTTGATTAGGGTTTGTATCGTTTGTATTGTTTTGTTTTTAAAGGGATCCCCATCTGCCAAGATAAGTTGTGTTCATATTAAAGAAAACGTTTAAAAAAAACATTTGGGCTAAATTTTTTTGATTAAAACAATATATTTTTTTTGTTTTTTTTGTTATTTCACCTCCCCATAGCCGAGAAGGCCACTACAGACGAGGAGGTTACTTAATTGTGGTTATAACCCTCTCTCAACTCTATAACTCCGAAACACGAACCTTGATGAACAAGGCCGCTGCGCGGAGAAACAAGTTGAGCGCGGTACTACCAGGGATGTGGTGGGGATCAAATTTGGAACCTCTTGCTTATGAAGCAAGCGCTCTACCACTACACCACTACCGCATATAATAAATGCACGCCATTAAATTTAAAATTCACGTTTTAGTCGAAGCTCCTCGTCTCCATTTTTTTGTGGTTTTTGGAGTCTGTATAATTTTAGCTGCAATCTGCAGACTTGATAATTTATTCCATGCGTGTTTAATTCATAACAGTTTCGGTATATGACATCAATAATCTAATATATATATGGGGCACATATATATATATATTATTTTAATCTAATATATATATATATATATATATATATATATATATATATATATGTATATATATATATATATATATATATATATATATATATATATATATATATATATATATATATATATATATATATATATATATATATATATATGTATATATATATATATATATATATATTTTTTTTTTTTTTTAATTAAAAGTGTTTTTGTTATTGTTTTTTAAAACATATTTTTAAAACATGTGTGGAGTGCTGCTACTCCCTTATAGCCTGCTGCTATAAGTAAGTGCTGCTACATTGACTATCTTATAACTATTATATTTAAATGTGACTATTAACGTTATCTATTTGTTATAACAAAGAAAATATTGTTACTAATAGAAATTATTTTTTTTTTTGCAGATTTGATAAGATTCCAATAGAGGGCTGGACACTTATTGATCAAGGTTACTTGTTATTTCAAAAAGAAGATAGCTTATTTAAAGATTCCAAGGCTTTTTTATCAGTTTTATATAAAGGCATTTACCACCAGTTGCTAAATATTTCATCACCCATCAGTAAAAGTGAAATGAATAAACCTCCTCTACATGTTTTTGGAAGTTCAATTCATTCTCCTGATCTTATTTTTAAGCATGATATTTCTGTTCATGTCTTAAAGTTTGATATCATTTGTAATATGAAACCAATCATTTCATCGTTAGATATTGTTAAAGACATACTAGTTTCAAATTTACTAGAAAAGCATGTTAAAAATCAAACAGCAACTCCTGCGAGGAATTCTATTTTTAAAACCGATTCCATAATTCCTACCCCTATACTCAACATCCATGTTGATAGCATTCGTCTTATTTTTCCTGTTGGTGATTTTAAAGAAGCAAAGTATGAATGCATAGATAAAAAGGAATCGGTTTTCATTTTTCATGTTGATTTGATTTCTGTAAGTTCATCTCCATGCAATCCCATTACTAAAACTATTGTTTGCAAAGACGCATATAAAAAAATTAAAAAACTATACAGAGAACCTTTAAAGAATATTAAATTGTGGAATGTGCAATATCAAATTGATATAAAAAATGTTGTTTGTTGTACTACTAACTGGCATGCTATAGAACAAAACTTTCTTGATGATCAAGCTAGCAATCAAGTATATGGCCAAAATCCTGCATTCGAATGGAACTGTCATTCAGAGTATTTTTTTATACTTTCTTTTTGTTAAATTTTAAAATTAATCTATAAGCAACACACGTGTTAAATAATTGTTAAAAAAGTGTTTAGGTGTTTAAATAGTTAATGGGTGTTTGCAACCCACCAAATATTTAAATTCTTGACCTGCTAAGTTTTGACAAAAATATTTTAAATAGCTTTTATAAAATCTATACTTTTATAAAATAAGAAATTTCATTAAAATTTTTTTTTTTTGGATTACTTTTTTCAAATTCTTCTTGTTTTAGATATGCAAACACCACTCTCACTCCAATTTGTTCTAATCTTGATTTTAAAGTTACACTTGCTCCACCACTTAGAGCAGCACTGAAAGCAAATAGCACGGTAAAATAATTTTTTTAATTATTATTTATGCCATTATGTATATTTTGAGTTTGTTATTTAGAATTTCACAATTAATGTCTTGCTTGATCATGTTTCCAGATTTGCAAAAAAAGTTTTGTAATTCTTTTTGGTGATATAGCAAGCCATACAAGCGATGTCTTGTTGGTATAGAAAATGTCATCAAGCCTGGCTCAATGTAAAATAATTATGTAAAGTTCATTATCAATTTAAAAGTTGTAGTTTCCATAATGCTGTAAAAATCTTCTGCATATGGGTGGAGCTAGCCTTTTTTGTTGTTCAGTTGGAAGTAGTTTTTCAATTTTTTTTCTATGCTTGATGTTAGTATGTATTTTTAACAACATGTTAATATACAATTGAGAGCAAACAAGTTTTCCATCCACTACTCTTTGAGTACATCCTGATCTACGATTGAACATATTTTTTAGCTTCTTATGTTACTTTTTGTTGCTATTTTTACAACCAATGGGTTTTTTTTTTTAATGTTCCAGTTTCTTTTTCTTTCATGATCCAATGATATATACTACAATGATAAATACTACATTTTGAGGCTAAAGGTACAATAAAAGACTTTGCAATTTCATTTGTTTTTATTTTAGGATTCTGAACAATGTTGTACAATTTATCTTTTATATTCTCTTACTTTGCCACTTAATGTAATTTCAAAAAGTAAAAATGTTTATTAAAATTTATAATAAAATACCATTGAGTTGATTGTGTAATAGAGTGTTTAATAATAAAATTATGTTTACTTTTGTATTTGTGCCAAAACTGTGATTACCTGTTATTGATGATCTCCAAAACTTTAATGAGCATGGCAATTTAGCACTCTAAATTCATTCTGCCATCGCATATGCTAACTGCTAACTGCTGTGACTGAAAGATTTTTTTGTGCATTAGAAGGAGGCCGAGAGGCTAGGGCTATTGCTCTCAGCATCTAAAGCTTTTGACCAAATTTGGTGTAATTATGGTGTATCTGGGAAAGATTTTGAGATTATCAAGTTGTTTCTTTCTAACCGCTTAATTAAAGTCATTTTTAAAGGCCAATACTCTTCTTCATTTCCAGTAACTTCTGGGGTATCTCAAGGTTCTATATTGGTCCTGTTTTGTTTCTTACTACATTAATGATACATTAAGTTGCTTTTTGACAATGACTCAACTTTATACTTCTACAAATACTGTCATGGGCGCTGGTAAAAGGAGCTATCATCTCTAGTTCTATTAACTAAAACTCTTTTTTGTTTGACTCTGTCATTCAGCTGTATCTGTCCCTGCATACTCTAAAAAAACTGTATCTGTCCCTGCATACTCTAAAAACTTTTATTCATCTAATTTTTTTTCCTGTACTTCAATTCTATCCCATCTTCATGTTTTCCTTACTCATACAACCTACAGCTTTTCAAGTCTTCTGTCAACTGTTTCCTTGCTCTATAACTCTCGATCTGGCAAAATAAATGTCAGATGTCCAAATGAGAGATAATTGTCCAACATGCTATTACCAAGTTAATTTTGCTAGTATGTAAACTATTAGCATGATGCCCGCATATTTTGTGTCCATCAAAACTGTTGAATATCAGGCCGATTGAAGTTTCTCTTGATGGTTGATTCTACTACATTAACTTAATTGTTGTGCTTAACTACAGGTGAAGTCTGTTGAAAGTTCCCTCCTATTAAATAAACTTTACTGACAAAAGGAGTGTTGAATTTTTTGGTAACCTTTTTCACAGTTTTATTGGTAGCATTGAGTGAATGAGAATCTGTCAAGTCACTTCTTCACAGATGTTGATCCTGACATTTCTGATATTCTCTGCTTCATGATAATATCATTAATGAAAGACAGGGTTTTGTTATTGATTGGCAATAGGTCTTAAACTGCAAATGGTAAGTTCTTTCTTTAATTAATAGAGCATTGCGATTCCATTTGAAGCTACTGAGATAACAGAGTTTTCTTTTCCTTGCAGTATGTTAATAATTGTATTGTAAATAAAAGTCTTGCCAGTATCACAGGTCTATCCAGGAAAAAATGATGTAGATGGGTATGTTCTTCAGCAATCGAACTCATAATTTGTCTACAAGCATCCTTATGTCATTTATTAAAGCTTGCAACCTTTATTTTTCTTCTTCTTTTGGTCTCTACTACTTTTTGGATATTCTATGAGCAGCTGATGGATCATCTTAAAGTCTAGTACAGGTAAATTAAATCATGGAATTCAACCATTAAAGATTCAAGAGCTTTGAAAACACCTTGCAGAACGAATACATTTGTTAGGCCAGAAAAATTCTTACATTTTCTTTAGGACAAAAATCATCTATCGGTTTTGGTTCAAAAGTCAAAATTGAATCATTAGTTGTTAAATTTTCAAATTCCAGTGATTGCAATAACGGTTACAATAAGATTCCTGTCCATTTGAATGCATTTGAACATCATTTCTGTTTATTTGATTAATTGGAAACATCATTTCTGTCCATTTGAATGCAATTTGAACATCATTTCTGTCAATTTAAATTTTGCTTTAATTTTTTGGTATAGCAAAGTGTCTTTCCTTAAGTAAAAAGTCTGCAGTATGGTTTAATTTGATTTGGATAATTTTATTAAATTTAAGTAATATTAATATTGTTAAAAATAGCGGCCTTTTTTTTCACTAAAACAATCATAAACCCTTATTAAATTTTTTTTGAAAAAGCTATTTTCAATTGAATGAAAACTTAATTCATTTTTACTTTTTCTCTATACATTATTAGGCTTCATAATAAAGCATATGCGAAGAGCAACTTTACATTAGGCTACTCTATTTATGTTTAAAATTTTAAAATTTTTTGTTTAGTAATATTTAAGTATAGATATTTTTAAGTGGTATTTTAATGAAGTAGTTAAAATTATTTTTAACGGTATTTTAACGAAGTAGCTAATTTTTAAAAAGATAATCTAATCAGAAGTAACACTACTCTTTATAAATTTCTTAAATTATTGATATAAGAAGAAAAAAAAAGCAATTTCTAAAAATAAGCTTTGACAACCAATGTAAATCCACAAGTTTAACAGTTTGTTTCTTTACAGCATCTGATTTAGTAATCTTTATGGAAAACAATAACAAAAATGAAAAGAATTTACAAAAAAACTGGACTGTAAAGCAATGGAATAAGGGTGTTCGGGAGTGATAAATATATCATTATTGTTTTTTGTAGAACTAAGAATCAGCATCACCATTAGCTCATGTAAGCTAATTGTGATGCTGATTTAGCAATCGATTTTATTTATAGTTTAAATAAAAGGTAAGTAGTAAAAGATATTCCAAGAAGACGTAGAAAAGAACAACTTTGGATGCATGGTTAACTTTGGATGCATGGTTGTTGGGAAGATCATTAATGTAAATAAGACACAAAATAGGACTAAGTATAGAACCTTGAGGTACCCCAGAAGGTACTGGAAATGAAGAAGAGTGTTGGCAAGGATGAATTAAAGTCATCAATTTAAGGATGGCTTTAATATAGCGATTAGAAAAAAACGATTTGATAATCTCAAAAACTTTCCCAGATACACCATATAAAACAAGCTTATGAAGAAGACCAGCATGCCAAGCTTTGTCGAAAGCTTTAGATATCTCAAGAGCAATATCTCTAGCCTCTCTACTTCCATCTAATGCATGATAAAATCTTTTAGTTACAGCAGTTAGCAAGTCAGCCATAGAACAAAAGGATTGAAAGCTGTATTGATTGTCTGACAGTAAGTTATTTGGTTGTGAGATAATAATGGATGTGAGACATTTGTTGATCAAAGACTCGAAAACCTAATAACAGAAAAAAGACTGATTGGAGGATAGTTAGAGAAGTCAAAATGTTCACCTGAGTTTTTGAAAATTGGAATAATAGATGCCATTTTCCAGCAGGCAGGAAAACAAGACTCAGTCAAGCATTTATTAAATAGTTTAGAGAGAATTGAAGAGAGTTCCGGAGAACACTTTTGTAAGACTATGACAGGGATGTTACCTGGACCACAAGCCATAGAAAAGTTTAATTAAGATATGGCTTTAGCAATGGTTAAAAACTTTAGTGTGATTTGAATGTCTAACAATGGATTAACCTGTTTAATTTGAATGGAAGGAAGAAAATGGCCATAAGATTGGAGAGTTGAATTTGAAGAGATGTAATTAGATCAGTTCCATTAATGAAAGGTGGAATGTTAGACCTTATTTTGTTAATGATGCTGTTGAAAATTTTCCAAAAGTCTCTAAAGCATAGCTTCTGAGATAAAACAAGAGATTTAGTGAACTGAGAATTTAGTATCAGACACCTTTTCACTGCAATTTCCTGCATTTTTTTATAGTTGTTCTTATGAAAAAGATTAAAAAAATGATTACAATATGATATAGCAGTTGCACTAGAAGGTGAAAACCATAGAGTAGAATGAGGCTTGACTTAAAACCAATGAAAATGAATAAAAGCATTCATTCTTGCCTGAATCCAGGAGGTTGCATAGGAGGCACATTTATCAGCTGAGAGAGAAAAGACAAAAAAAAAGTTAAGCTTTCAACCCAAGAACTGTCACGAAGAAAATCATGAAAAGAATCCTTTAAAAGTCAGCTTTAGGTTAATAGTAAGTAGTACAATGATAGAATGAGTCTGAAGATAGAAAGAAGTACAAGATAAAAGATTTATAAAGATCATTGCATGGTCAGTACCACCTAAGGGAGAAAAAGGAGAAACTGAACTCAAGCTAGGATCAGAGACAAGACATAAATAAAGGAGTGAAAGTAAATGATTAGGGTTGTCAGGAAAATGAGTCACAAAGTTTACTATCCAAGTAAGAAATTGAGAAATGCAAAAGTTATAGGTTATAGTGCCAGCATGGTCGGTGGTGTTAGAGCCAAGCCATTGAGTGCGATGAGCATTAAAGTCACCAATAACAACATTATTGGCAGAGGGGTAAAGAGAGAGAGCATGGTCAATTGGATCAGAAATTACATCTAAAAGAGTGCAGTCTTGGGAAGAAGGAGACTGATAAAGAACAAAGAGAAAAGTGATAGAGCGAATAGATGCTAAGTTAAAGCACATAAGAGATTGGTCAAAAGATTCGAACCTATTTTCACAACAAATAGGTGAATTGATGCATATGTATACCCCCAAGCCAAGCATGTGACTATTGGACCACTGACCATGCTGGCACTATAACCTATAACTTTTGCATTTCTCAATTTCTTATTCGGATAGTAAACTTTGCAAATAAAAGGATAGTACCCATCAACACTGAGATCTGAAGAAGAAATAGCAGAATTTTAATTAGTCTCACTAAGAGCAAGCAAGTCTGTTGAATTTTGCTTCGCAGACCACGAATATTAGTAAAAAACATATTAAAACAGTTAGGTGGTAGGGATGGTTTTTAATGTTTAATATTTTGGATTACTTTTGGCATGGTTTAAGTTTAAAGAGAGCTTGATACATTCATAGGTAGAGCTCTTAAGCAATGAGCTATGCATTATCTCAATCCTGTTAACTAACCCTAAGTTGTAACATAGGATTCCTTATGTAGCCTTGACAATACACATCAAAAGCATTAACAGAAGCATTAACATCCATGCGCAACATGGCACTGTTAGTACTCTGATTTTTTGCAACCGTTGATGGAATCTCTGAGAGCTACGATAGAGTTTGAAAAACCTTACCACCAGTCGGCCTTAGAACCATTAAAATAAGCTTTAGAGCTTTATCCTCATTAGGAAATAACAGGATGAGTTGCATAGCCTTTATCAAGGAGGCATAAGCAAAAATCTATGAGTAGAGTCAAGAAGATCCAGCATTCATAATCTCAGGCAGGAAATAATGTACCACAGGCTTACATCTATGCAAGTCTAATAGATGAAGAAGGAGTTCAAGGCTGGTTAGCAAAATTATTTTGATTACCCCTAAAATCTTTGCTTAGGAGGCCTCCTACAAGACAGTAGCTGGATGCAGTTAGCATATACCCAAGATGAGTATTTTCATTGAGACACCATCTCTAGTCTTAACTAGAGATGATGTCTCAATGACACCATCTCTAGTTAAGGCTAGAGATGGTGTCATTTTTTTAATTTATTATTTGTGTGTGTCTTAACAACTATATAAGACACACGCAAATAATAAATTAAAAAATTAAAAAATATATATATATATATATATTTTACTATAGGCATGACCAATATTAAATAGTATTGACGATGAGAAGCAAACTCCTTCAAGTCTTTGTTTATTGAATGGCCTCCACAAACTCATGATTTAAATCCTAATAAAACTTTGTTGGAGGAGCTTTTCAGAAAGGTGCAAACCAAACCCAATAATTTGGATGACTTGTGATAACATTTGCAGGCTGCTTAGCACATAGTTCCTGTTACCACAATCCAGAACCTGGTGCAGTCTATTCTAAGATGAGTCAAGGCTGATGGTGCCAAACACTTTACAATATTAAAATATGGTGACTTTGTTTTAGATTGTGCCAAAAATTTGCTTTTTTTGGGGAGGGGGTTGGGGTGAGGCATAGCTTAGTACCATTACTGTATATCTCTTTTAATGCTTATTTTTAACATTTAAGTAACCTTTATCTGTACATTGGAGTGTACATATATCATCTGACATAAATAGGGGCGTATATGTACATCAACTGACTTAAATAACGAGAACATGAAGGGAGTGTACATATATTGATTGACTTAAAAAAGGAGAACATGTAAGGATTGTACATATATTGACAAAAGTGTTACCGAAATCTAAACCGAATCTAAATGTATCTATTTTTATTTTATTATTACATTTTTTATAATTGTTCTTTTTAATTTAAATCTAATTATGTTTTTGTTGAGATTTACAAATTCCTATTATACAAGCTTTTTTTTACGTTTTGCAGTCAACATGGGTTACTAGCGCTGGTGTTGATATTCATTCTCCTCGAGGAATAAAGATGTTTGTTAACACATCACAGGTAATGTGGAGTTGTACGGCTTGTTTTTTCAGAACAAATTATTTACTAACCTATTTGTTTTGAAAACTAAATTATTTTAATTCTTGTAATTATATCAGTAAGTTATGATGAATAAAATAGTTATCACTGTAATTACTACATACTTACATAATTATGTATAATTATGTAACTATATTATTTACTGCTTGATTCTAAGGGTTTTGGGTTGAGTAGATTTAATAATAAATTTATGGCTAAAAATTAATTACAAATAATAATTCAAATTTTGTTAATTTTTTTTTGGTTAATATAAAGCAGTTTTAGTTACAAAACCTTCAGTGAATATTGTCCTTTGTCAATTCCAACTCTAACAATGGCTTTCAAAGGATCTAATTTAGGTAAAGAGCAGAAATCTTCAATAAGTCAAGTAAAAATTTTTAATATGTACAACACCTTCCAACACTAAGTTATCAAGTACATCTTCCTTGCCATTTAAAAAAAGCAAATATTTTGCAATTGTAAAACTTATATAGAGCATGAGACAGATTGTTAAGCATAGCAACTGAATTCTTTTTAACATCTAGTTGAAAAGAATTCATCTGGTTGAAAAGAAAATCTTGTAAACAATGTGAGTTATATTATTTAAAAAATTTAAAAACTAATCAATATACATTTGTTATAATTATATATAAAAAACCTAAACACCTACAGGACTTTCTTTTCATGAATCTCTAAGAATATCATGAACTATATTTTCAGGCAGATTGCGATTTTTCTTGGGTCAAATATTGTGTCATTAGAGGTTATTTGTTTGGAGCTTTTTAGAACTACAGGTAACAGTGATCCACTTAAAAATTACATTGAGTATTGCAGCAAGTTGTTATAAATATTTGTATAAAAATCTACCAGTGGATAACTAAAAACTTCAGAACAGTTAAGGTTGTTTGCTCTGGCATCTTTTTATCCTTGGAAGAAATTAGATTCCTACGATTTTGAACAGCAGGTGTTCTGGTGCATGGGTACTTTAATATCCTTTCCAATTCATCAATCAGTTTAGAATGAGTTTAAGCTTTCAATTCGGAAATTTTCTTGTGACCTAATCATATAATCTTTTAAGTTAAAAACCTTGTGGCTATGCTTATTGGATATGAATAGATATGATTATTAATACAATTTGGACATAGACATATATAAGCATATATAAGTAACTCTCTTCTGCTTTTTAGTTTATTTATTAGTTAGTATTTTTAGTAAAATATGTTTAAAAAAAATTAATTAATAATAAAATATAAATTAGAGATTTCAGAAAGTATTTCCAGTGGTAAATACATTCATATTAAATCTGAATCCTTTATGTAAAAAGTCATGAATTAGTGTCAATAATAATGACAAAAGATTAGTTTTCTGTTTTGTTACAGTGACAAAAATAAACTAAATCTATGGATTTAATATGTTTTTTTTCTTTGAAAGATGAATCATTTGATATGTAATACTTATCTTTGGCAGTACATACAGTATATATATGTATATATATATATATATATATATACATATATATATATATATATATATATATATATATATATTTAGATATTTAGGGGTTGCCATGTTTTGTCACAATTTTGGTATAAGGTTACAAAAAGTAAAAAAAAAATTTTTTTTATTTTTACATTTTTTATATTATATTACTGAATTATTTATTGTCAATTACTTATTACTATGTGGTGGATTGTGGATGTTCAATGTTAAAAAGACTATAGTACTATTATGCAATTGCACTTGGTAATAATAAATCAATCATTTTCATCATTCAATCGAAGGAGAAACTGCATTTGGTGTTCATCTTTCATAACACTTGAGTTGAAGGATGTTATAAGTGCTATGTCTCATTCCGCGCAATTGTTGACAATCTTCATTTGACAAACCTTATGCTTCATTTCAAGATATGTTGAATCCATTCCCCACTCTGAAGATTCTTTCATTAAAAATGATTCAGCTTTTTTTCTGCCATTCTTCAAAATTGTGTTGTGTGATGAAGGAAAACAATGGACTGTGACAATCAAATGTGGCAGCATCAAGTCTTTTGAGAGATTTCTGCCTTGGCTGTTATTTCAGGTTGTTTGTCATGTCTTTAGGTTTTGTTGTCGAAACGGGAATCGAAGAAAGCCAATCCTATTAGATGTTCAGAAAAATACCAGAGGTGGCAATGAAAAGCTTTTGCTGCATTAATTGCAATTGTACGATTTGGATATTCTTGAATCCGTTGAAGAAGCCTGGCATCATTAAATGGTGCTCGTTCAGCTAACAGAGCTTCATTCCAAAACTGTCCGTATATAAATGCCACAAAAAGACTAATGTCTGTTATTCCTTTCTTTTCCTTTGCAGTAATAATAAATTGATCCTTAAACAAATATATCTTTATACAATTTATATCTTTCAATTTATACCATCCAATGTGCATTGTGTGTTGCACCTGGAGCCCGAAACTTTACATTCAACTCCAATGTTGTAGTTGATCCTCCAAGAAAAATAAGGCACAAATTCAAGAGTTCTAAGTAATCACCCCTGGGTTGTTGACCTTGAAATGCTTTACCATAATATACTACCATTTCTTCACGGAGTTTGAGAAAAAAATTGGAGTTGTAAAATTCTTCACTCCCTATAGTGAACACCTCCTTGTTGATTGCTGGCCATTGTTTCTGGAAACGGTTAGAAATTCCAACTTCAGGTCCTCCACTGGTTCCAAATGCGATTCCACCACCAGTCACAAGGATGGCAATTCTATCCACTTTTTTTTGACTACCAGTGATATCAGGTAAGAGCTTTCCATCCTAATGCAGAAGAAATAATAAGAGAGAAATCAACCTTGCCACCGTGTAGTCACCGCTTCACAGACAGATCGCCTTTTTCTACAGATGGTGCTGTACGACAATCATAAATCTTTTACCAAGTGACCAAGAGCCTGAGCCACGTTCCAACCACGAAGAGTGCACAGCAATCAGAAATATTAACACAATCAAGAGATGATACAGTTAGAAACTTTTATCTTCTTTTTCGTTGAATCATCCAAGGAACTAGAGCTACTTGCACTTACTATGTCAACTGCTGATGAAGAAGAAAGAGTTCTTTTTTTTCCATCATTTCCGCTTTACTGCTTTGACACCTCTATTCCATTTTAGTTTCTCGGACTTGTTTCTGTGCCTACCTAGCTGTTAAATTTCTATTAATTCCTGCCATACTACAACTTAATGGATCTTCTTGCTGCTGACATAAAAATGCTTTATCTTCATCGTTTTTTATATACTTCTGATGCATTCTTGGTTGATTTATCAAAAAGTTTTTCAAGATCAACCTGGAAAACTCCTTCTTTTATTTGACAGCTGTCAAATTTTGATCCTTGGTGTTTTTTCAGCAGAAGATATTCGTCATGAAGTTTTTTTAACTTTCTTTCCGCATTGTCAATTCTTTGAGTTGGAATTCTTCCTCTCTCCCATATAACAAGAACTGCTTCAATTGTTGTCCAAATTCAATTGTTGCTGAAATTTCACTTCTTGATCTCTTCTATATATGATGGAAGAGCATCTCCAAAGAACATCCCCTCTTGAAGGAAGTCTGGAAGTTGACAGAGTTTGTTTAAATTTACTAACAAGCCACACCTCGGCAGAAGATCTAGTAGTTGCCATATTATTAATTTCTAAATTGAACAGGCATGTTTTTTAGTGATGAGTGAATATGTATAACATGCAATTTTAATTTGTAATGTATTGTAGAAAAAGAATTGTAGATTATGCCTACTAGACTTGAAATATAATTTATATTATCTAAAATTTCTATTCATTTTTAGTAAAATAGTATAATTAATATTCTTGCAATATAATCACCAGTTTATTTTTTAGTAATTATTAAAACCTACATTTTTAAAGAAAATAATTACTATTTACTTTTGGATGATATCAACTTTTATATTTTCATGCATAAAACAAAAGTGGTTGACAGGAAGTTTAATTATAAAATATAGACTATGTCATTGTGTTGATAGACAGTTAATCTGGTTCCATGCTTATTGTTTATTGCTTAATTTTATAATATGAACCAGTAGATTCTTTGATTGGTTTTAAAATAAACAATGAAAAAACAGATTTGCAAAATTTGAGAGAATCACAAAATTTTACCAATGGTTAATTCATCTTATAAAACAAGACAACCTCTAAAATTTCTTTTTTTAGTCTAATTTTTGGTACACACGATCCTAGGTGATAAAGGAACACAGACAACTTTGAGTAGAATGTTTTTTGTGGCATTTATATATATATATATATATATATATATATATATATATATATATATATATATATATAAATATATATATATATATATATATATATATATATATATATATATATATATATATATATATATATATATATATATACAGAATTTTTAGGTATTTTTTTAGAATTTTTAGGTGACAACTTTTAGGTGTTGAGTATTTAGAAATAAAAACAAATTGAGTTTATTTACAAAAATATTAACCAGATTTGTAACTTTGAAAGCAACCTTTTTATAATATTTTTTGTTTTATGAACATTTACTTTTATCATTAAAAAAAGTAAATGTTCATAAAGCAAAAAGTATTATAAAAAGGTTGCTTTCAAAGTTACAAATCTGGTTAATATTTTTGTAAATAAACTCTAATTTGTTTTTATTTCTAAATACTTAACACCTAAAAGTTGTCACCTAAAAATTCTTTAATTTGGAATATGGTAGTGTTTTTGTATCTTCTATTTTTGTACTTTGACCAGGTTTTAGATATTTACTTTATGATCTTCACCAGTAAAAGATTTTGTATCGTTGTATGAATGAATGTTATAATTGTTTGTTCATTTCCTAACATTTTTTAAGTTTAACCTTAAAGTCTCCTCTTTAAAAATAACCAACTTTTAAGTGTATCACTTTTTAGTGTAAGACTTTTATTTTATAAACAACACTTAACTTATAAATAACTTATAATAAATTACTGATCTATTTAACTAATTTTTTTAGGAATAGGCATATTAAAACTAAAATAAACCAAAGGTGCAACAGTTACTCTATACTTTGTAATATACCAATAATATAGGTATCTCTATATCAACAGTCATTTTATAGGTTTCTCTTCATTATACTATTTTGTAGGTTTCTCTTCATTATACTATTTTATAGGTTTCCCTTCATTATACTATTTTATAGGTTCTTTTTATTATATTAATAATATAGCTATAGGTATTGAACATTTTTATTTAAAATTACAGAAAATTAGAAAATAAAATTATTACTGAAAATCTTACAGTTTATAATTTTACTTAGCATGCATTGCATCAGTTTAAGCAGTGATCCTGTTGAATTTTTTCAAGTAAGAGAACTAATAATTTTACCCTCCCCTCCCCCATAGTTTTATTTTAGAATACAATTTTTGTTAAAATGTAATATGCAGTAAAAATGTTTTAACATTTTTTCTTTAGATGAGTTTATTACTGCAGATAATAAACGACTTCAACTTTGCATCATCTGAAATCATTAGCATTCTTACTCAGAATTTTTCATTGAAGTCCAATTGTGATGATGGTCTTGATCAAGTCTCTTTATGTAGTGAACTTGTCAATTCTGAAATAAAAAATGATATTGAGAAACCTTATGAATTTCCTCCTGTTGAGCTGTTTGCTTCTGTATGCGAGATATCATTAATGACTTACTTAAAACATTCTGAACAGCCTCTTGTTTTTATAATACATCCAGTCCTTTTGCTAAACTGTGGACTAGTTAATTGCTGTTTGACAACTAACAATCTACCTAAAATTCAATTCAATATTCACTCATTAAAAGTATTGACATCATCTAACACAAATGGGATTCCCACTGAGTTTCCTATAGTTTCTCATTATGATAGAGAGCTTTTCCAATGTGGTAATGGATATATTGACCACTTAACTGGAGTATTACCTAATTTATGTAGCTGTTCTATTAAACTCAATGAAGAAAGGAGGTTAGAAATAAATATTGACCTTAAAAAACCTATTTATCTTAACATAACTTTGCATTACACAGAAAACATACACAGGTTTGTGGCAGAAGTTTCACGTTTGTTTCAAAGTAATAGTAATTTATCTGACAAAAAGTTAAATGCATCTACGCAAAGTTCTGGATCTTTATACCATTTTATAAATAAGATCAATTTGAAAGCATCCATGTTGTCTTTTTCTTATTCTCCTTTCACAAAAGATTCCACAGACAACATTAAGTTGGAGTGTGCTTATCAGTCCTTTGAGGCTGAATTGTGTTGTATATCAAATGTTTCTCTAATCAAGTTATGTAATGCCAGATGTCAGATTCAAGGTTTAGAAGTTTATCTGCTAAAAAATGATTTAAAGTGTAGTATTGTAAATCCATTTATTTGTGACTTAAAGATGGTTGCAGAATTTGTACCTCACTGTGCAAATGAGTCTAACCTAAGGTAAATGAGTTTAACATAAAATAAAGTTTATATATTATATATTATAACTGCAATCTGTACATTTGATAGTTACTTACAACATATAACTAATAATTTGTAAATCATAAAACATTTATACATATATATATATACTTATATATACTTATAAACATATATATAACTTATATAAAACTGTTGTTATATGCGTATATCTTATTACATATAAATACTAATTTATATAATTATGAAAATTACGATTTATTGTGTTATTTAATTTATTACAGCGTTGTTTAGTAATTGTTATATATAATTTTAGTTAATAACTTTTAATTATAATTATATAATTCTAAACATATAAATATTATATAAATATTAATTATTATTTTGATTATATAATTCTCCAAAACTTTATTATTTGACTTTCTGTTAGATTTTTGAATTTTACAAGTTAGTTTTATAATTTTTAAAAGCTTATGTTTTTAATAAAAGTTTTATATCATAAAAGAAACTTTATATGATAGAAAAAAAAAAAATTTAAACTACCTAGTTATTTTATTTATACATAGTTTTTACCCTCGTTTATCTTTGTGGGCAAATATTGGTCTTCTTCAGTTAACAATAAGTCAACAGTTGTTTGATATATTAGGCAAGTTTGTTTACCAACAAAATAAAGATGAAGTTGTTACGATTGTTAATAAAGATATTGAATATTTTGGCTTTGATTTGACTGAAAGTGAAGATGATTTAAGGAATGGATTGTTCCACTATACTTTCTTGTCAGGTATATAGTTGATTTGTTTAAATTATAGCATGTATATGCAACCCTTGGAATTAGGGTTGGCATTCGGCAATGCTGACCTAACTGCCAACCTGAAAGTATTTGAGGTTGGCAAAAATTGCCGACCTCAAATACATTCTATGTTCTATGTTTTATGGTCAGACCTTTGTATCAAACAATTTTTGCCAACCTGAACCCGACCTCAAAAAGATCAAGGTCGGCAAAATATTGCAGACCTTGTTTTTCCTAATTCCGAGGATTGTATATGTTAGGTCTACTGTAAGGTTCTGTTTGTTTTCCGAATAAAATAAAATACAAATTACCTACCTGTTCAGGAATGGCTTTGTTTTGTAGAAATATGCATACAACAACTCGATCATCCAATGTCACTAAACAACGATGAACGCCTGAAATGTGACTGATTGGAAAGGTCAAAATCATCATTTTGAAATTTTTAGAACCATCTTATTCTACAGAAACACCAAATACTTTCAATAAATTTCTACATGCTTCTGTAGCATTTCTTCCTTGTTGAAATTCATGTAAAATATTGTGATGTAAATGAACTTTATCAGTAGCCATTTTTACACTCACTTTATAATGAAGAAAAATTTTAAAAACTTTGGTTGAGTTAATTTGCTACATCTGTATAAATACTTTTAATGATAAAAATAATGAGCCGAAAATATGCTAAATAAAAAACGCATCAAAAATTGTTTTTTATAGAAATGGACAGAACTTTCCGGTAAAACTATATATATATATATATATATATATATATATATATATATATATATATATATATATATATATATATATATATATATATATATATATATATATATATATATATATATATATATATATATATATATATTTATATATATATATATATATATATATTTATATATATATATACATATATATATACATATATATATATATATATATATATATATATATATATATATATATATATATATATATATATATATATTATATATATATATATATATATATATATATATATATGTATATATATATATATATATGTATATATATATATATGTATATATATATATATATTTAAATATATATATATTTAAATATATATATATTTAAATATATATATTTAAATATATATATATATTTAAGTATATATATTTACACTTACCTAATTTTCTCCAAGTATAATTTCAAATTCAACTTATATATATATATATATATATATATATATATATATATATATATATATATATATATATATATATATATATATATATATATATATATATATATATATATATATATATATATATATATATATATATATATATATATATATATATTTATATATATATTTATATATATTTAAATATATATATATTCAAATAGTATGCTAATAAAACTTTTATTGAAAAAAAACAACTAGTTAAATTCTTTCTACTATAAGAATTTTACTAGTTCAACATTTAAATAACTTTTATATATTAAAACCATTTGAATGAAATGTAAAAACAACAACTGATTTTTTTGTTTTATTTTTTAACTTAAATTGTACATACATCATCTGGTATAGCCAATATGTGTCTACATTAGCGGATGTATGAATGTATGAATGTATATATTATTCTAAATAGAATACATGTAAAGTGTATTCTATTTAGAACAATATATATATATATATATATATATATATATATATATATATATATATATATATATATATATATATATATATATATATATATAATATATATATATATATATATATATATATATATATATATATAGAGAGAGAGAGAGAGAGAGAGAGAGAGAGAGAGAGAGAAAGAAAGAGGGAGAGAGAAAGAGAGAGATACATTGACTGAGGGTTCAAATTTGAAATGGTGCTCTCTAGACATGTGTAAATATCTTTTTTAAATATAGTTTTTAAAGTTTTAATGTTAATGTTTCTACAACTGTGTGGTTTGGTTTCCATATTTTTTTTTTTTAAACATGTTACTTTTAAATATTTATTATTAAAAATAAATTTTTATGTATTATTATTTCCTAATTTATTTTGCATAAATTAAGCAAATTTTGCATAAATTAAAGTTTTAAAAATTTTGACTGAATCCAGTAAATAATTTTTTTTTTTTTTTTTTGCTATTATAAGTGTTTGTCATATCTAGATTGTATCTACCCAAATCCTCAATTGGTGTATATATTCTATATATAATATATTAAGATATATGATATATGATATATTAAGATATATGTGTATAAGAATATTGGTGTATTAATATAAAAATACTGATATATAATTTTAGTTGATGAAACAAGAGAACCTAATGAAAATGAAATTTTGTTCACTCATGAAAATAGTTGTGGTTTCCCTACTATGACATGGAAGTATCCTCAGCAAAGAATTATAACAGAACTAACCATTTTACCAGTTCCATTCCATCTCTCTTCAAATCAGGACAGTAAGGTATTTCATTTTTATCTAATAGTTATTTTAAAAGTTGCAAGACTGTTGTTTGTTTTTTTTATTGTAATTTTGTTGCTCATCTGAAAAAATGCTTAAAAAAAAACACGTAATAATAAGATTGTTTTAGTGGTAAAAAAAAAAAACTTTTTAAACATTTTTAGCATTAATGCTTAGTGTTGAAGAAATTTACTTGATGCAAATATGAATAGTAATTGAATAAATTTAACATTAGGTTTATGAGTTTGCATTTATGTATTTACACTAATATTTAAGAGAAAGGTTGATTCATTTAATCTTACTCTTCTGCTGTTTGTCTCTTCATACTGAAATCTATATATCTAAATCTTTAGCTCCTCCATAACACATTAATCTCCTTCATAACACATTAATCCTCTCCATAACACATTAATCTTCTCCATAACACATTAATCTTCTCCATAACACATTAATCTCCTTCATAACACATTAATCCTCTCCATAACACATTAATCTTCTCCATAACACATTAATCTTCTCCATAACACATTAATCTCCTCCATAACACATTAATCTTTCATGTTACACCTTATTACGATTAACTTGAAATATCATTCTAACATTTTTTTAAATAAAAGTTTAGTTTAATTTTCTTCAACACACTTCATATGTTGAAATAATGTTGTATGCTTTAAATTGTACAGCATACAATATTTTTCATAGTTGTGTTTACACTGAGGCCTCTGAAATGTTTTGTTCTATTCCTGGTTTTTGTTTATACTATTAACTTATTCTCTGTTTTTGCTGAGATAAATCATTTCATTTAATAAAATCAAGTTTAATAAACATCAAATGACTTTATTGTATAATTTATGATATCATATAAAAGAGATGTCACAAATAGTGAGTATTTGGCTAGATGCTTATCAGAAGCATCGAGTATTCAGCTGCCCAATATTCGGCGACACTGAGTTATTTTAATGGTCTAACCTGCTTTATATTTTTAAATGCATAAGTTAACTACACTGTTTATGTTTTTATTTTATTTATGACTAGGTTGTGTCACAGCGCGCATTTGTTGTGGCTGCATCAAATTGTTTTAACTATAGTTATATATAAAAATAATTATCTTTCCAAACCATTCAAAAAGATTACAAAAGTAACTAGGTCAGGTATATCTTACATATTTGAAGAAAATTTCAGAAGTTTTTATAGATAGGATACAGTACAAAAAACTTATTAAAAATGATATCTTCATAACAACCGGAACTCAATGCAAGGTTTAGCTTTAATGAAAATGTCAAATATACGGTTGCCTTTTTATTGATGCACATTCCAAAAGTAATTTTATGGGATTAGTTAACGCAACAAACAAAGCAAAATAGAATTTAAATACTCAGTGAAAAGATGCTTGACACCAATGAACCATCACCGGTGACTAATAGCAGCCACAATACTAAGACCCGCAAAGACAAGTTCAGCTCCTAAAGGAGCATCATAATTTGCTCTACAAACCTAGTAAGATGAGTTTGAGAAGAACGAAGGTATATTAGAATGAAAGATAGAAGAAGTCGTGTTAGAAAGATAGCATAGAAAAAGCGGACAGGAATTGCACACAATGTTAGAAGGCGAAATATGTACTGTTAATTAGGTCACCTAATTAATGTACGCCGACAAAGACTTGAATGGAGTTCACTTGATATGAACTCTGCATCAAGTAACTTTATCGTCCTTCATGCACTAACCTTTTATATAAAAATATGCTCCAAATTGCTTGCAGGTTTGTTTTTAAAAGTAATCTTTATTCATTAATAAATCTTTTTATTTTTAAAATCTGCTAATATTGCTTGCCAGTTTGTAATTTTTTTTTTAATTATATAAATTTTTCTCTTTTACATATAAATCTTTTCATTTTTAAAATCGGCTAAGATTGCTTGTGGGTTTGTATTTTTTTAAAATCTTTTTTAATACTTTTTTTTTGAAATAAAATTTCTTTAAAATAAAATTGAAAAAAAAAACTTACAACATAGTTTAGTTTAATAACAATATACAAATATACTACAAATGTGGGAGGTCAAGGGTTGCAATGCAAATAAAATATTTGTACTTTATTTTATTTTGTTTTTTATGTTAAAATTTTTATCCTTTAAAAAAAGAAATATTCCGCTTCTTTAATCAGAAAATACTAAAAAGTAGAAAATCAACTATAGAAAAAACATTTGCTAAAAAATATCATCTTTTTTTTACTAATAAGTGGAAAAATCTTTTAAATTTAAATTTAATAGTTCAGTAAACTAAAAATTGACAGATTTGTTTCGAAACGAACCTTATGCAGGCCTGTCAATCTTTAGTTTACTGAACTATTAAATTTAAATTAAAAAGTTTATTTTCCGCTTTTTAGTACAAAAAAATATTATATTTTTTAGCAAATGTTTTTGCTATATTTTATTTGGAAGTATGTTTAATTTATAAGAAATTCGCAATTATTTGCTATCATCAAAAGATGAAAATATTTTATCATAACTTACCACCTATGGATTATCAAATATGGCATTTGTTAAAATAAAAAATAAATAAAATTGCCATATGAAATCTGTTTTTATGCTAGGTTTTTGTTGCTAGGTTTTTATGCTAGGTTTTTTTGTTACAATCTTGTTTTCAACAATCTGTTGAATAGTTAACAATATTTGACCAAATACAGAATAGTAAAAAAAGTTGCAGAATGGTCCGATTACCAATTAAATTGCCCAGTATTCATGACCTCTCTAATATTAGTATTGTATAACTTTAATACAAAGTTTTATAACATTAGATTTTTGTAAGTGTGAACATGGAGATTTTACTTTACCAACTAGTTAATTGTTCAAAAAAAAAATATTTTTTTCATACAAATTTATGGTCTAAGAATAAAAAAAACAAAAAAAGGGTGAACTTAAGTCTTCACATTTTGACTAAAAATTTAAAATATGTCTTACTTTTTTTTTTTTTTTTCAACTTTCAAATTCAAAGAAGTTAATTTTTGTCACAAAGTTTAAAATTGGGCTTCATTTTTTGTTGTTGTTTTTAACAAAATAACCAACCTGATCTGTTTTAGTTTTAAATCAGTAGATGAAAAAAAATCAATCAGTAAATTAAAAATTAAAATCTTTTATGATATTTTTCTGATGGGCAAGCTGGTTTTGTGCAAATTAAAAAAATATATATAATATAAACAGTGTAAAGTGTGATAAATTTTCAATTTAGGTAAAGTGTCAATTGGAGTATTACAATAGTTTAAAGGAATGCTTTTGTTTGTACTATACATTTAATCTCTCTGAAAAAGATACTCTTTTTTGTCAAATCTGCGACCGTACATCATTGTTTTCAGTTAACAACAACATCTCATCATTGTGGCGTGTTGTTATTTGTGAAAGGTTTATGATTATTTTTTATTTATTTTTTTTTTTAATTATTTTTTATAACTAAATTACCAAATAAAAAAAAATTTAAATAAATTAACTATGAATAAAATAAAAAAGTCACTATAAACTAAAAATGTCTGTAGTAAAAAAAATTTCAAATTTTCAAGTTCACATTTATTAATGATATGATGATATTATTTTAAAAGGTTTGAAAATAATGGGGTTCCAGCATCATCACTTGCGGTGTGTATGAAAATCAACTCAGTGTATTCATCACTACTAATTCCATCATTGGAATGCAAAGTTTTAGTTTCATCTGCAGAAGTTTTATTTGAAAATAGCATGACTTTACTTGGACAAGGTGTGCTATTTAACTTCTTACTAATTTAGCATAAATTGAAAATTCTTTTACATAAATTAAATAGTGTTTTGTTTAAATTAAAATTCATTTTGCACAAATTTAATGTTATTTTAAAACATATAAACATATTTATTTAATGTTGTTTAATAAAAATTTATTAGACGTTTTTCCAACTTTTTTTACCCTAAAAACAAAATTAAAGTTATTAACTTAGTACAACTTTTTGGTAAGTGAAATATTTCATATTCATATTTTTCGAAACTTTTCTACCATGGTAAACTCACTGTTTGTTTGCTACTAATAATAATAGTTATAATTTTAAAAGTAATAATAATAAATAATAGTAATAATATTAAATAAATAGTGAGTTTGCTAAAATACTAAAAAAATTTTAACTTAAAAAACTTGATGATAAGTTTAATGTAGGTCAGTAAATTGTAATTTTCCTCCTCAACAAAGAATGCATCTCTTTGAACTTTTTTTATAAAATAAATGTTATTTCATTATACAAATACTGTTTTGCTACTTTAAAATTTTTTTTAGCATCACCAACAGAAATCAAGCCATTTTTTTTTGAATCTGATTCTTTTCCTGCAAACTGTGAAATGGTTACCCTCCATCTTACAAAGTTCAATATAGAGAGTATTGTAAAAAAATCTGCTGTTGTATTTGAAACGGAAACATCTGTATCTATGCGTGTCATGGATTTTGACAGCTTTTGTTGGATTGATCTAATGAGTCCTTCAATTTGCTCAGTCCGACTGATAAAGGTTTTTAATTTAATTGGAATAGTTAGTACATTATCATAGTTATACTTACGCATGTTATGCATGTAAGCATTTTTTATACACATTTTTTCTTATTTTTCTAAGTTAAAAAAAATAGTAGTAGGCTCAATTAGTCCAACTAACAATTAGAAAACAAGATTTTTTATACACATTTTTTCTTATTTTTCTAAGTTAAAAAAAATAGTAGTAGGCTCAATTAGTCGAACAATTAGAAAACAAGATTTGGTAGAGAATTTGGAGAAGTTTTAAGTTTATGTTTAAAAAGTTTGTAAGAAACATAGTTTGAAAAAGTTAAAATATAGATAAAGAAGTTTAAATATAAAAAAAGGTAAAAAAAATTATTTTTAGACTTTTTTAACTATTGTTATAAAATAAGAAACATATTGTTTGTTGTTTTTGAATCTGATCTTTCAAAAGACAAAAGAGAAAAAAAAAAACAAATAAAAATTGTTTAGAATTGATGATTTTAAAAATAAAAAGAATAAAGTGAAAACAATGAAAATA